TCTGAATGTCTATTTTTTAAGCATTGTTACATTTTACCGCTACAGTGCTATGAATTATGAGGAATTCTAAAGAGCAACTGCAAACAAATATATACCCTTTAGTTGATGTTTGTTTGTTTTTCTCCAAAAGTCGCCAAATATTTTTTCCAATTTATCCAGAATGATTTCATGAATTGTGTTCTTTAGTCGAGGTGCATTATACCAGCTGAAAGCAGATCTCTGATTAGCAATGGAATAGTGTTCTTTGCTACGGTCCAGTGAACAGGGTAAGATCAGCCTTTCTCAAACCAGGGTGCCTTCTGGCTTCCGCAGAGGTTCCTTAAAATGTTTACCAGAGAAAGCTGGTATAGGCCAATCTACCCTGCCATTAATGTCAGATATTATTATTGCTTCCGTTAAGGAGGCTGAATTGTTGAAATGCATATGACAATAGTGCTACTACCTGCTCATTCACTGGTTAGATGGAATAGATTGTGTGGGTCTTGACCCGGATATGCCATTGTCACATGACACGCTGTGTAACATGTATTCTCTTGCAAATTCATGCTGTTTCGGGCTAGCTGTCTGCCTTGGATGCTACGCTCTGTATATGTCTGTCTGTAAAAACCTTCAATAAACATTTATTGGATTAAAATGTTTACCAGTACCATGAAAAGGAATTCTGCTAATCAAGGGAGGGCGGGATCCATTCAGAAAAAGGGCGGTAGTTCTCCATCCAGGCTTCCTCCCCATCACACCCTTTGCCATGCTGCCACTGCTGCAGCTTGTGATATAAAAAGTGGCTTCTGATGTGAAGTAGGCTCCTAATGTAAAGGGAGCTCTGATGTTAAGGGGAGCCTCATTTTTTTTTGTCTATGTGGGGACTCTTCCCTTAAAATCCATACCAGACCCCTATCTGAGATAAGGGCCTAGTATGGATTTTTACATTTTCTACTGAGTGCATAACTAGGGAATGCATTTGTTGGCAAACCTTTTCGCAGGCAAAACCTTATGTTATTTGACCCAGCTGTGTGTTTAGCTTCCTGGCTGGAGTTACCCTTTAAATTCTGCTGTAGGGCGACTGTCTAATTTCAAACATTTGGGCTGTTTATTTTTATGGGTGTTGCTAATAGAATAATTTTTGTTGTGATAAAAACTTAAAGGAGAACTATGAGGTGAGGGAATTACACTCATCCCCATAGTTAGAGCTGGCGTGTGACATTGAAACTGTCACGTCGGCTCTATTGATCAGTGAGGGCCAGAACACACTGCCTCGCATTGCGACCGGCTCACGACCGGGCGATTGGAGGGCGTGACTATGGTGCCATTCACTTCAATGGCCTGCCACGCCCCCTCCTGCCCAACAAAAAAGTGAGCCGACTGCAATGCGATGCAGTGCGTTCCGGCTAGAATCGGACCGGAATGCACTGCATATGGTGTGAACTAACTCTAAGTTAGCGAACACATACTGCCGCTCGCTCACTTCCCGATCATCTCCCTGCAGAGAGTGGTGACTCTCGGTCATCATTCCCCACAGGGATTCCCCCCTCTCCCCTCTCCGATCCTCCAACGCTGACTGGAGGGGGTGGGCATAGCTGGCTCTACCTCCAGATAGGCAGAGCCCGCTGTCAATCAGCCAGCCAGCTGCGTGGATCTCGACAGTATTGTCGTGATCCGTTCCGGCTGCAGTGCTCTCAGCGTATAGCAAGCAATAGCCCACTATATACTGAGTTTTAGGTCACAGGAGGACGTTAGTATACGACTCCTGTGACCCTAAAGAGAACTATGGGGAAAAAAGGTTACCCCATAGTTCTCTGTTAAGGCGGGTTAATAATTTGTTTACATAAAATTGCCAAATGTTTCATAATGCCTCATTGTGCACATCTAAGATATTTTGGCATTGGCATCTTGTCTGTGAGATGTGACCCTCTGTGCCATGCTTTTCCTTTTCTGGGAGGTATGTTGGGGTGCCATTCAAATTAATAGTAACACAATGCACCTAGCGCACAGTAATGCACACTAGGTGCACTGTGCTATAGCATGCTTTAAACGCACAGTATTGTGCGATTATCAAAGTTCTGTGGTGTGCATGGGCCCTAAAAGATCTAACCGGTGGACGAATCTCTCGCTGCAGCTATTTTCTGATGGTTTTCTGATAACCAGCGCCCACCGATGTCGGAATACATGAACAGTGACTGCCACTGCTTGGCTACAGTCACTCGTCTCCTTTACCAATCAATTGAATAGTTGACTTTTGTCGAGCCGGCAGGGCCACACACTGTACGAAATTCAGCTGATTTCAGCAAATGAATATGAATGGCCAGCTTTAGACTCAATTTCCCACTCTGCATGTAAGTAAAATAGCCAACCGTTTTCACTTATGTGCTGTAATCTCTCACATACATCAGAAGCAAAAGAAGAACCACGTTCTGTGCTCATTATAGACCAGAGGTCTCCGAGCTTCTAGAATTCTTCTCAGCGCTGTCATTTTGCTATGTTCGGTTGTCAGTTGCTTTCACTGCTGGCACTGCTTTTGTTTGTGTTGATAAAAGAAATTCCTAAATATTTTATGTTCTGTGCCACATGTATATTTCCCTCTTCACTCATTAGTAGATATTGTTTGCTTTCAGCTTGTATTAGTGACACATTTTGTCATTAATTTGTGATATTGTTGCTAAATCTTTGTGTGTGCGTGTTACACTTTGCCATGCTTATAAGCACTATATGATTAAAGGAGAACTATGAGGTGAGTGCTTTTTACTCACCTCATAGTTCTAGCCGACCTGTGACAATGAGACTGTCACAGGTCAGCTCAGTAGATCGGGAGGTGAGAAAACACATACCGGCGTTCGCTCAACTCTCGATTCTGTCACAGCTCTCTGCCGTGACAGGAGGGGCTGGATTCCCCCCTCCCCGATCCGCCAGCACTGACTGGCGGAACGGACGGGGCGGGTACAGCTGGCTCTGCCTCTAGATAGGCAGGGCCAGCTGTCAGTCACGCAGTTGGGCGGATCCCGGCACAATTGTCGGGATCTGCTTCAGCTGCGGCGCCTCAGTATACGCAGCTCGCGGTATACTGCGGCGTTTCAGTATACCGCGAGCTACAGCTCGCGGTATACTGAGCCTAGGGTGACGGGAGGACGCTAGTTTGTGTCCTCCTGTTACCCTAAGGAGAACTGTGGGGAAAAGCCTTAACCCCATAGTTCTCCTTTTTAAATATAGTTTGCTTCCATTTCATTGTATAGCTGAGTGTTAGGTTGCTTTATGAACTATAGACTGGACTGTTGGACTTTTAAAACCAGATTACATGACCCCTAGCCTAATTATAACAAACAAAAAAACTCCAAAGATTATAGATTAGAAGGAATGACTTGACATTTTAATATATATTAGCTGTATCGTATTGCTATTATTGCAGCTGGATAGAGTTTGTTTAGGGTTTTTTTTTTCTGATAGCCAGCATAACTTTTATTGGATGCTTCCATTTTGAAATTGTTGGATTTTTAACTTTGTTTTAATTAAAAGAGATCTAAAGCCAAACCTTTTTTTTTTTTTTGCTTTAGTTCTCTTTTTGGTCACAGGAGGAAATTTACTAATGAGACACACTGCCGGCCAGGAAGGATTCCAACAATATTGTCGGGATCTACCCCGCTGCCTGATTGACAGCTGGTAATAAGCTGTGCCCGCCCCCTCCTCTGTCTGTCCCTCCAATGAGACCCCATTCACACTGAGCTTTTTCAGCGCTGATTTTGAGCTGAGGACTTTCAGAGACATTGAGATACAGTGCACATATTTAGCGCTACGTAGCGCTACTTTTGGCATGGACTTCGTAGCTGCTACATTGAGCTGTATCCAATCAAAAGCGGCCTTAATGTGACATAATTCCTCTTCCTGTTTCCTGATTTTGTTCCTGCTTCTATTTCTGTGCAAAAGTGACACTTCTGTAGCGCCACATTTCATGCAAATTCATGCGACATTGAGCTACACCATGGAAGTCTATTGAGCTGTGAGATGTGAACAGCTCCATTGAAATGAATTGGATGAGCTACATTGAGCTGATGTTTGAGCGATTTTTTTTTTTTTTTTTTTTTTTTTTTTTTTAAATATTAAAAGAAAAAAAAAAAAAAAAAAAAAAAAAAAAAAAAAATCGCGCTACAAATCGCTCAGTGTGAATGGGGTCTGTGTGCTGTAGGAACAAAGAGGGGAAGGGTAATCCCTGCGGGGAGCGGCGACCGGCGGTTACCCCCCTCTGCAAGGAGAAGCCGACGTGTGCCAGCTTCAGTGTCACACGCTGGCTATAGCTATTGGGAAGAGTACATTTTACTCTCCCAAAACTTCTCCTCTAAATCATCCCTAATGTTTGACCTTCTAAACAAATTTTGTTGGTTTATGTACAATCAATTTTTAAAGCTTCAGCAATATAAATCGAGAGAACATATTGATCACAGTAAAATATAAATGTATCCTACAAAGTACAATGATACACTTGCACTATTTGTAAAATACTTCTCAGCGTTTTCTACCCTCTGAAGAATTGCAGTCTAAACAAAAACATTTGTAACATCAGTTTCCCATCGCTGATCTGTTTAGATGACTAATTATTCCCAGTATACAATGTAGTTTGTGAAGCTAAGAGGACTGCACCTATGAAAACTATCCCAATGAACCAGAACAATTTGATTCCTACCCACTTGAAGATCTATAGAGGTCTGTGGAAGCCATGCTGTGTCTGTCTGGGCTCCCAGGATTGACTATGGCTATGACATCCCGTGCCAGACTGAGCACACCCAGCTTCCCATTTTTTTTTTCAATTCTTCCACATGTACTTCTGTTAGGTGCGTGGTTACTCCTCAAACAATAAGTGTTCTTCAGAGAAAAGGTTTGATGTTTTTTCTCTAACATTTTATTGAGATTGTGTATGGTAAGTTATCAACTGAGCAACATTTGCTTTTAAACTGTATCCTGACTACATGGGAAATGTCATCTGTAAACAGAGTTTGACCTTTTGTTTGTGTTTTTAGCGGTCTTGCCCCAACACGGAAGATGATGGAAGACAAAGGACCCCGTGTAGCTGACTACTTTGTAGTTGCTGGACTAACCGATTCATCAAAACCACTTGAGGAGGAAATCCACTTTAATGATGCCTGTCACAAGATAGCTAAACCAAAGGAACCTATCACAGACGTTACAGTGATCATTAAATCCCTGGGGGAAGAAGTGCCTCAGGGATATGTATGTATGGACACTACCCCAACTGGACTCTCGGCTGACCTCAATAATGGGAGTATCCGAGGACCTCAGATATATTTGTGTTACAGGAGAGGAAGAGACAAGCCTCCTTTAACAGATTTGGGGTAAGTTGTTATTATTAATCACGATTTATGGAGAGCCAACAGTTTGGCAATACAAGGAAGACACAGTTACAATACAAATCAAGATGGTAAGGAGGGCACGTGACAGCTTACAATCTAAGTTTCCCTTTTACCTTAGTTCCTCCACCCAGCCTGTCGTTGCCAGTCTTTAAAATAGCAGTAATTAATAATGAGAAACAACCTGGGTGGCTGAAAGTGTCTGATGACTTAAGAGATAACATTTATCCTTCCAACAAAACATAGCTTATTCTGCTTCAACTTGTTTAGAATGCATAATGTGTTTTCCGTGGGAACATCCGATTATTTTTCCCATGCTTGGCCCTCCAGTGTTGAAGTATTATATGCATAAATGCTAATGTTCTGTTATTACTCTGTGTGAATCCCATGCCAGGGCTGTGCCAATTCTGCGTTTGATGTACATACAAGCTCTGGGCCCTGGTTTGTACTTCTGTTATCATTATACTTTCTGCTATCAGTCGTCTTTGACATGTGTGGGTGTTTGTAGTTGGGAATTTTTTGCAAATGTTACAAATACAAAAAGATGTCTGTTTGCCACATATGTCCGATTGATTTCTGACATTTTAATAAAGCCTGTTTATACCCAAGAACAAAAAATCAATTTGTTGCAGCTTTCCAGTCCGTAGATGTGGTAGCTGCATTCGTTTTTACTTTTTTCATCTGCTGATCCTTATGGTAAAACATTTTCTTTCCTGGGGTGACAACGCTTACCCATCCTACTATTCTGATGGTAAAACACTTCCTGTCCTGGGGTGACCACGCTTACCCATCCTACTATATATATGAAAAAGCAGCTTTGTCAGTATAGGATATTAATACAAATACCTACCTATCTTATCCATACTAAAGAGAGGAGGGGTTCTGTAGTCAGGGGTGTGGAATTCCTATCGCCCGGGACATGCAGTTTCGGGCGCCGGGCGAGTAGTTTTAAAGTACATTCAGCCCGGCTCCGGACAAGCAGAGCTGAATGTACATTGTGGAGCTGCCGCCGCTCGTTTAATACAAGTGGTCTGATCAGACCACTTGTATTAATTTGAGCAGCGGCGATCGTTTCTACCCGCACCCCCCGCCTTAGTTTTCGGGGTCGCCCGCTCTCCCGGAGGACCCCGAAAACTAAGGCACAGCGGCTTAGCCATAGAGCAGACGAAAAACGTCTCTGTGTGTTCTCTGAGACCGTATAAATATATAAAGATTTAAAAAATGAAAAAGTAAAAAATAAAAATGAAAAAGTAAAAAATAAATAAAAATGAAACCCTGCTGCCCCCGCGCTCTGCATGCAAATAAACGCATGCGTAGGACATTCTGCATGTGCTTTGAGATTGCAGCCGCCATTCCATGGTGGTAGCCAGAATTCTCTTACACACACACAATGTGCATTAAAGGGTAAGTTCATTTTCCCAGGTAATATGGAAAAATAAAAATTACCCGATGAAATCTGGCCCCGTCTCTCCCAAACCGCCACCCCCCTGGCTATACTTAACTAGGTGTCGGCGAATTAGTATTGATTTAGTACGCATCCCCTGTCCTTCTCTATGGGACTACGTGGCCATACGCCGCCCTACGCTCACCCCAAGTGCAAGTCCGTGCGGGTGTCCCGGCTCAGACGCAGACAGGATCCATCCCGGTCAGTGTACGCGCACCCGCACAGACGTGCTGGGCGGGTGAGCGTAGGGCGGTGTACGGTCGCGTAGTCCCATAGAGAAAGACAGGGGATGCGTACTAATCACAAGCAGAACCTGTCCTTCCCGGGAGCTGCCCAATACGGCCGTGTACGCAGCACTGAGCTGTACGTGCCGGCTGTTTCTCATGTGAATGAGGGCTAATAGATTTTGGAGCTGATGATTTAGTTACTGCTTATGTAATAATTTTTTTATCTCTGCACATAGTACCACGCTTGTTAGTCTCAGCAGTGCTTGTGACATACAAAATGGAAACCAGAAACTTTAAAGTGATAGTAAAGTCAAAAGGTTTTTAAGCTGTGTCAAATGCTGATGAAATCACTTACAATGGATGCTGCTCCTTGATATTTAAAGTTATAGTTTTCTGCAGAATCAACTGGGCCCCTAAGCACTGGTACTGATATCCTGTTATAGGATGGCTTTTTTCCCTTGAAGGATCCTATGGAGCCACCCTTCTGTGTAGTAAGTGGTGTGCCCCTCTACAGTCACACAAGCACAGCAATTCAAGCCACTTTTCTCCTCCTTGCTCCTCAGTCCTACTCCCTCTTCCCTTCTTCCTCCAAGCTATAGTAGATGGACGGTCGCTGGAGACTGGACTGTCCCTTGTTATCTTGTATTGAACAATGATGTTCAGGGAAGTCAAACGGAGAGTTGGAGCTTTTCTGAAACATGACTGTAAATGCACGGGCAAAATGTAAAGGAATACTTAGCTGGGTAATGTATATTTGATCTGGATTTATTATTGAAAAAGCTTGAGTGTGTAATACTACTTAAATGTTCAGCTTTTGAGTGTTAGCATTTTACAATGATCATTTATATAGGACTGTATTTCTCAACATTTCTTTCCCAAAAATATGTCCTGGTATTAGCCAAATGTACCCCCCAAACCTCCCCTCTGCCCCTCTAGATCATGGCCGAGCACCATTTCTTTTGTCTTCACCCTTGGTCATGTAGTGGGAGATCCTTCTTTACACACGGTGTATGAGCAGAGTCTTCAGAGTCAAGGGGGCATTGTTTTGTGTGGGAGGAAATCAATGTATGCATGTAAAGATCTACAGAGAATGAGGTGGGGGGGGGGGGGGGTCTGACCTCCTTTTTGATACCAAGTTTAAAGGTAAAGGCCTGAAAAGTATGTCTGTTAAAGAAGTTAATCAACATGCTTTCCTTCCCAGTGATGGTTGATGTACCTGGACATGTTTATGTGGCATGGTACCATTCCTCCAAATATGTATTTTTCTTGCACATTTGGGAATAATGTCGTTCACTTTACTTACTGTTGGCAACATTTTGTAATTTTACTCTACAGAACTCCGATAGGGAACTTCATGTGATACTGGAAGGTCTGAAGAGGAAGATGGTAGAATTGTGTTTTATAATTTACATATATAACTGAGTATTGAACACAATATTGTGAAGGAGCGGAGCAGGACACTGTTTTGGTTCCTAAAGTGATAAATATTTTAAATGAGTGTACTTGGAAGTGTCATGCTTTCCCGGTCTGCTGCCATGGCAGTGCGAGGAGATTAGACTAAAGCAGATTAGGTGTGACAGAAGCATAGCTAAAAGTCACATTAAACCTTGATAGGGGCTCCTCATTTATTGGAATGAATGCTTACTTTCCTCGCCTTCCAGAGTTGCAGCAGATTGCTTGTTTCAAAGCTATGAGCACACATTTTAATTCTGTATATAGAAATGTGAAGGAAAACTGGCATGTATAGTTGTAAAATGAAATGCACTTTACTGTACTTTCATTACTGTCCACAACCTTCACATAGTATTAAACGCTCAAACTTTTTTTTCAATAATGAATCCAGATCAAACAGAACTACATCACCCAGCAAAGTGTTTCTTTATATTTTTGCCCAAGCACTTAGTCATGTTTCTGAACATCTCCAACTCTCACAGCTCTGCTTCCCTGAACCTCCTGAGCAATACAAGAGACCGAGCAGTCTACATCAGCTGTCTGCATCAGCTGTCCACCTGCTAGCTTGAGGAAGGGAGGAGAAGGGAACAGGAAGGAGGGGAGAGACTTGCTTTGCTGTGTTTGTAAACATGCACAGCTTATTAGCACACACAAGGGTGGCTCCATAGAATCCTATGGAATCCTGCAGCGGCTGTCCATCTATCAGCTTGGAGAAGGAAGGAAGGAGCAGGGGAGTTTCCTTGGTGTGCATGTTTGTATGTGGAGGCACACACAAGGGTGGCTCAATAGGACCCTGCAAGAGAAGGAAGCCACCCAAAACAGGATATCAGGACCAGTGCTCAGGGGACAAGCTGATTCTGCAGGAAACTGAAAATATTAAACATCAAGGAGCAGCATCCATTGTAAGTGATTTCATTGGAATTTGAAATCGCTTTAAAGTAAACCAGTACTCTTGAGTAGACTAACGGAACTGATGGTTCATTTACACCTGTGTGCTCGCTCATATTTTCTGGTGTGTTTTTGACAGTTTTCATCCATTCCCATTCATCTTTATGGAAGATGTGCTTGCTGGAAATTTCAGCAAAGATGCAATCAGCATTGCCCTCTGGGAAACATGTGAGAGAATACATGGGTGGCACATACCCAGGAAAGTAAAGGACAATTATGGTGCAGGTTATACAATGTTGCTACTATTTTGGATAATACATCTTTATTGCGGGGTTACTTTAAATTAATATGTCGGCATATCACAAGAACTGCTTCCTAAGGAGTGGACGCACCAGCTTAAGCCGGGTATACACGGTTTACTTTTTTTTGTTCAACCTGTGGGCTGAATGAAGAAAATAGAACAGATTCCTCCAACTTTTACAAGCATTGCCAGCCACTGTCAGAATACCGAACAGAGCCTGTAACTTATTCGCTGCAAGCTCCGTTCAGCCGAGAATTTTCCAACCTGCTCCTTCAATCAGCTGATAGTGGGATGCCGGGTGAATGGGGGCCAACAGCAGCACCCACTATGAATCGGCTAAAATTCATTGCATGTATACCCTACTTTAGTAACATAACACATATTTAAGGACTTATTGATGGCCCGTGTGTCCACAGTATATTGCTCTTCTTGGGCTATTTTGCATATCAAGTTCATGGTCAGATTATTCCCATGCAAAGCATATTAATGTTGGTAAATACTCGCAGAGAAATACAAATATACCAATAGATCATGTGTTGTGTATCTAAAAATGCCTTTTTCTTTTTCAGAGTGTTGTATGAGTGGAAAGAACGACTAAAACAGGGTTGTCATATGATCCAAACGACACCGCATGGACGTCCTGCCAATATAAGCAGCAGCACCTCCTCCTCACAAAAAGCATACATTACCTTCAGAAGAGCCTCTGAAAATATGAGCCAGAATTCCTTGGCTGTAACTGATATTTGCATCATCATACCAAGCAAAGGAGAGACACCGCCTCATACCTTCTGCAAGGTGGAGAAGAATCTTAATAGTAGCATGGTAAGATCCCTTTTAGACTACGCACCACTTGACTTTTTTTCCTGCTAAAATCTTTGGTGTAAATGCATCCTTATAAAATGTTAGAACCATAAAAAGGGTAATGTAGACAAATTGTTAGTATTGCAACCAAACCGCAGATCTTGCATCTGACATGGCGCTTTTAAAGCTGAACTACAGGCACGCATTCTTCTTGAAATATATTACTCGATAGCTTCAAAGGATAGAAATGCACTTTACTAAACCAAGATATTACCTTGTGACTATAGCAGTGACATCATCACTGTGCTGCACATGATCTCTGCAGAGAGCGGAGCTGTGGGAGAAACCCAGCATACTCCACCCACTATAGGTTGCCTGCAGAAAACTACAGGAGGGGCGGAGATGAGACCAGTCACCTGGCACAAGGAGAGAGAGCAGCAGTGACTGGTCTTTATTACAGGAAGCTCCTGCACAGAGGCAACATGTCACACTGGATTACTGCACGGATCTGGAAGAAATACACAAAGCACTCCAAGATATAAGGAATAATACACAGGCCTCTTACATTTTATTTTAGACAATATATATGATCCTGGAGCTAAGCTTGAAGTTAATTTAAATCTCATTTTAGGTTAAACATAGTATTTAATCACTGCTGTCAGGCAAGGAAAGCCTACACATTAATGTTAATCTTGCACGTAGCGAATCCTATCTTTCCTTGATCTTAGGGGCCACTTTGTTGGTTGTTGTGGTGCCTTGCGTTAGACTAGTGGTCAGTAACTCTATTGCCTGACAACCATTCATGAGCCTTCAGCCACTTGGATGCCAAGTCCCAGCACCCTCCTGCCAGTCTTGTACTCGCCTCACCCAAATCCTGCAAAATATTACTGATGAGGTCACACAGCTGATTGCCAAAATCTTCTGTGCCAGGCTTGTACTTTCACTACATTCTCATTCATTCCTACTAGTTTGTACTCCTTGCTCTGAGGCAATGCACCGATTACTGAGCATTTGGGGCGAGTACGAGTATTGGTCTATCCGTAGTTGGGCACAAGGAGAGTCGGATGTAAGCGGACATGTGTCTGTTTACCCCCTAATCCTTCTAGGCCCTGAAAAAGAAAATGCAACCGAGTTCTGTTTTGGCAGACCTGATCGTGAGGGACCGGAGGTAATCGGATGCAAGCAGACACAGGTCCATTTACATTCGACTCCCCATAGACTAACATTGGGCTGCCGAAAAACTGTCACCAGCGGATCTGCTCGGACCACCCTTGTGAGGGACCTTAGTCGGCTTTCTGTTTTCATCCGTTTAGAGCAGTCAGAACGATGATTCTGTTAGGGCTAGTTCACACCAAGCGCGGAGCAGGTCCAGAGCAGAGCAGGTGCAGACCGGATCAAAACTGCGTCCAATGTATTCCTATGGTATTTTTAGCTCCAGTTCACATCGCAGCGTGCAGGTCCAGAGCAGGTAAAAAAACTGCAGCAGGCCCTATTTTACCTGCTCTGGATCTGCAAACGCATGCAAATGCCTGGAACGCACTGAAAGTCCATGTTAAACTAACATGGGCCAAAAACGCATCTAAAAGACTAGCGTGCGTGTGCAGAAACCTGACTGGATCTGCTCTGCATTTGGTGTGAACAAGGCCTTACTGTTCTTCCCTTTATTACATAAAGAGTGTGGTGTTTTGATAGTTGAGCACTGTTGATCCTTTGGTGATCTCTGTGGAAATTAAATATGAATGCAGTGACGGAGCTCATGCACATGAACTGTGATCTGGATAGTACAACTGACATGCGTTAAACTAGACGTTTCGAAACCATGCGGTCCCGTCCTCAGGCAAACTGTTTGCCTGAGGACGGGACCGCATGGTCTCGAAACGTCGCTAAGGAGATGTGTATTATCTCAGTCAATAAACAGCATTGACTTTAATATCATGGAGTGCGAGTGACTACTTTAATCTATGCGTAGGTCTATTTTTATCTGCTGTATGTTGCCCTACCAACCAGTTATCTATAATTCATAACATGAAACGGCTCTGCACTGTCTGACGATGTCATGTTAATGAAAAGTAACGGTACATCCTGGATTGGAGCATTTTCTGGTTTAGGAGGGACATTTTGCAGCTGCTGCCAGGAAACCCTACTAATTGTGTCTGCTGAATAAAAGTGCGATGTCTGATCCTGGAGCTATAAATAGCAAGAGGCTGCATGTTAGATGGATGTTTCTTATCATATACTGTTCATTAATTTGGTGTTTCTTTTCTTTTCAGTGGGGCTCAGCTGTGTATCTCTGCTACAAAAAATCCGTTGCTAAAACCAATGCAGTATCCTACAAAGCAGGTAAACAAACTTCTTTTTGCGCACATATGTAGCAGTAAAAGGCTAAGGCTGGGTTCACACCTGGGCGTACTATAGGTGCCTTTTTTAGTTCAGTGAAACGCGTGTTCGATGCTCGTTTTTATACCTCCCTGGCGGTATGATTTTTTTTTTTTTTTTCTTTTTTCCCTTTTTATTTTCTCCTATGTTTTTTTCGTTTTTTTAAAACTTTCAAAACTTCCCGCCGGTTCTGCCCCCTGCGATGCGGACGCTCGCAAGGGACATAAAACGGCAGCGGCCGGAGGACACAGCGGGGATCTCGGACAAGGTAAGACCTACGCTGTATTCCCGAGTGCGGCTCGGGGTTACCGCTTTGTTAACCCCGAGCCACACTCGGGAATACCAATGGATACGCATGGAAATACGCCACAAAGAAGCTCCTGTACTTGTTTGGGCGTAGGGCGTTTTTCAGCGCGTTTCCACGCGTTAAAATACGCCCAGGTGGGAACCGTGCCCATAGGAAATTATGGGATTTCACTTGCTGAGTGTTTTTCAGCATTTCGATCAGCGCTGAAAAACGCCCAGGTGTGAACCCAGCCTAAAAATCTTCATGGTATGGTGCAGCCACAACAAAAGAACATTTAACCTGACCCACGTACCGGGTGCAGGGCCTACATGTCTTTTATTTATTTATTTTTTTACCAGACCCACTGCTTCTAATTCCTGGTTATATGATGTTTTGTTAGCACCATGTCCTCCAGTGTTCTGGATATTCCAAATCCTTCCCACTAGTCACGCTAGTTTGGGCCAAGCTACAGGTGAGGTGGGGGACCGGACACCTCAGGCAGGGTATTCGAGAACATATACAACCGATCATTAGATATAGGAGAAATTAGGTATAGAGAACCTTATCCTGGGTCTGCATCATGGGCTTTACTATAGGATCTCCTAACAGTGGGATTACCTCTCCACCTATATTGGCCATCTTGTATAGTTCCATCTCTTTGAGAGGCACATAACCTCTTTTAAATTGCCTTTCATAGTTCAACCTGAGGAGACCTGCATTGTTATGTCCTGGCGCTTGCCCACATAGTTGATCCTGTGGCACTACTCGGATGAATTAATCTGTACATGTGAATACTATTTTGCCCAAGCAAAGTTAAAAAATCTTTTGCCTTATCTGCTCCTAATGAAGCAGCATCATCAGTGAAATGCATGGAGCAATATCCCTCTGAATATCTCCTAACCAAACACACTAACCAAGATTACATGTGATGTCAATGTCGTGTTGGGTTATATATATTTGGAGGCGATTACACATATCAAGACAAAAGAATAAGGAGTTGGCGTAATTACATTTTATTTGTATTTTAAATAACTTTTTATGATGTATTCTAATTTCAATAGTCATCCATAGATTGGGTCTGGCACAGCCTGCAGTGTTCTGCTTCCTACCCTGCATGCCCAGTTCTCCTTATGTTCCTTTTATTCCACACAAGCCTTTCCTGGACTGTCCCCTAGGGCACAGATTTCAGCCTCTGCAGGCATGTGCAGATGGCTGAGCCTGCGACTCTGCAGTCATATCAGGAGCATCATTTGGACTGTAGAGGGAAGTAGATGAGGCATTATTGGCCACAGCCTGGAACTGGAAAACATAGGAATCATGGCAACTGTTGTAGTGTGATTTTTTTATTGGTGCTTTGGGTTATTCTTTAAAGTGACCCTGTCAATGGGGGATGGAAGCTGTTGCAGTCAGAGGTGCCTGCACATAAATACAGCAACCTCCCAAACCCTTCTGTCAAGGCTTAATCTCTGGCCATTCTGATCGTGGAAAAGCTTGCCCACCCCTTCCTGTTTGCAGGGTATTCCTATTGGCTAGTGAGACTGGCAATCATAATGTAGGAATGTGTGAGCCCCCTTGAGTGATAGTAATTAAGTTAATTATAAAAAGAAATGTGTAAAAAAAAAAGTTAAATACATTTAAAAACACCACGAAAAATGTTTTTTTAAAGTACCCTGTCCACATATTTACTAACACAATTCACGTCAGGTGCGCCTACATACAAAAACAACGATTGTGCCACATGTTAGATATTGTTGTGTATGTCAGGGTAAGATAAATAATTATATGGCCAATATTCACAGTTATCTCTAAACTGATGACCTGTACGGGCTTTTAAAGCGTCACCTATGGGCAATTTGGGGTACTGTATTTTTTCCAAGTGTCACGGGCACACGCAATTTTTAAGTTTGCCATGTTGGGTATCTACTTTGCGCGGCCTCATCTTCTACAAAAAATGGGTATTTATATTGTGTTTTGTGCAATGACATTAACTTTAGTGTATTTTTTACTGAAATTTTGGGTTTGATAAAGTGTTGCACTAATATCATTTGACATAAAAATTTGCAACTTCCACCATTTTGTTCTACGAGGTCTCTGCTGTCAGGAAATATTTAATTCTGTGGGATTTTTCTGTGTAATTTTCCGGCCTAAAATGTGAATTATAACATGTATGCAAAAACACCTAAATTTCTCTGGCAGCTAAAGGGTCATAAGCATTTACAGGTCATCAGTTTAAATTTACCTTTGATCGACCCTAAATAATTGCTCTCTCTGTGGCATACACAGCGATACCTAACATGTGGCCAATTATCATTTTTGCATGCAGATGCGTATATATACTGTGGAGGCGGGGGACTTTAAACGAACATTTTTTTAACTGTATTTACTTACATGGGAGTATAAATGGTTCCTTGGAAAAAGCGAAAGTCCCAACAGCTCTGGCTCTCTGGATCGGAGTGCTAATTTGTATGTTTTCCCCCTGGCAGGTATTGTAGGTAACTAGCTGGGGAGCTTTCAAATAATAGAATTGTCATTGTAGAATTATTTATATCTGTGTCACCTACTCCTATCTGTTCACATGCTGATGTTGCTGAAAGGAGCCTGTGTAGAAAAGATTAAAATTGACATTTTAGCACTTTTTTTTGTTTTTGATTTTCACATACAAATGTAAAAAAAAATAAGCAAATATGTTTTTGACAAAAAAGCCACAGTAAGCCTAGAACAGGTAAAAAAAAGTCGCGCGACCGTCTCCGAAGGCTACTTGGCTGTATCCCAATGGAAAAAACGCTACAAAACGGCACAAAGTAGTACCTGTACCTTTTCAGGCGTGGGCTGTTTTGTAGCGTGTTAGGGACCGGTGGAAATACGCCAAGGTGGGAACGAGACCATTAAATACAATGGGATTTATATTTTTAAAGCGTTTTGTAGAGCGTTCGTCGAGCGTAGAACGCGCTACAAAACGTTCAGGTGTGAACGAGGGCTAAGGCTTTCTGACCATTTCATGGCTAACCTCTATGAGCTGGGGCTCTCAGTGGCTTAGGATGATACGTAGACATTGGATCATCACCCGCGAAGTGGAGACTGACCTCTAATGTGTCTACACTGTGATACACTTTGACATTGGACTTATGTCATATTCATTTAAGAAAAACCAGGCTGAAATTGGCACAGAAGTATGACAGCGTAAAAGCGATTGTATTGCCGATCTTCATAGGTAAAGGTTTAACACACATGAACCCTAAATGCGAAGTGCAGATTTGCCTGTAGTGTCTCTAGCTTCAGCGCCATGTCCTTTCTGTGCAAAGAAATTGTGTTTTGGCATCAGGACAGCCTATTGAATGCTGCCATGTAATGTGTGTGTATTGGACCAATTCATCTGCGTTATACAGTTTCAACTGGTTGTTTGACTGTGTGCAAAGCAACATCTTTGTCGTGTCTCTTTTTCAGTTGCAGTTTTGGTAGCAGTTAGAGGAGAGACAACAACCAAATTAGTGCATCAATGGACAAGCGTAGGGATGCACTGATACCGTTTTTTTCGTACCAATACCGGTGCTTCTACTGGCATGGAGCCATTTCCCTGGGCAATCAGATTTCCCAGGATGCCGGCTCCATGCTGTTTGGCTGGCTTGATTGTGATTGGCTGGGAAACCGGCTTCCCAGCCAAACAGCATAGAGCCGGCTTCCCTGCCATTCAGGAAGCCTGGTGGTGAGTTATGACCCGGCTTCCTGATTGGCGGGGACGCTGGCTTTCCAGCCAATCGGTATCAAGCCGGCTGTTCAGCCGGCTCGATGCTGATTTGCCAGGATGCCGGCTTCCCAGCCAATCAGCATTAAGCCGGCTTCCTTGCCAATCAGGGTGGTGGGTCATTACTCGCCACCTGGCTTCCTGATTGCCCAGGAAGCCGGCTACATGTTCCCTATATAGCACTGCCAGTCAGAGGAAATTTTCCTTTGACCGGAAGTTCCTTATCGGGGAAGGTATTGGAGCATTTGGGCGAGTACGAGTACTTGCCCAAATACTCGGTATCGGCACCGATACTAGTAGCATCCATTTTACTTTATCTGTCACTGACCATGTTTGATTTATCAACGTTCCCTGTGCAAATTCTGGGGAGGAGAGGAGATGCATTGCAAAGGCACCATTGTCCCCACATTTTAAATTCTATATTTTGTAAAAAGTTCTTGCTTACAAACTGGTATTGTGTCTGTTGGCACCATATCTGTGCATGAGAACGTTGAAGTCCTTTTCAGACAAAACATTCATACGCAATACGATGAAGCGATTGGAAAGACAGACACTACATTTTCTAGAAAGGCAAATGTGTACGTGTTCCTGTGTAGAAAATACTAGCACACTGGCAAATGGTAACTGTATCTGCTCACATAAATTTGTACTCGGCCAGAAATAGTTTATCTTATTTCAGCAGTCTGTACATGAGCAGATGCTCATCTGGAGGACATCTGTGCTAGTCAATGCCTGATCTAATTCAGACTTAAACCCTTCATTTTAGTTTTCTGCTTATGCCAGTGTTATACGGTATTTGTCTGAAGACAATCATATAAGATTTTTGGAAGCTCAAAGTACCAATTACTCTGTAAGCGAAGTAGATGTCAGAGCCTTTAACTGCCAGAAGATAATTCCTTGTTACTGTAAATCTAAGTAATCACCTAATGCATACATGGTATGTTTATCTTTATATGTTGCTTATGAAACAGTATTCACCTCGCAGATGTAAGTGTACATAAATAATGCTAGTGCATACATTTTCCCGGAGAAAAGTGAAAAAGGTAAATTCATTTGTA